TATTTAGCTATATGAAATAAATTTGAGATACTGTTTTCACTTACATCAATTTAAAGCATTCTCTGACCTTTGTTTTTGGTATCAGGGATTGAACTCGGGACCTTGTACTCACGAGGCAAGAGGCAGAACCACTGAGCTAAATCCCAGCCCATTTCTTTTTTTTTTTTTTTTTGCCAAGTGACTTAAAGTACTTTTCATAATGTCCTGGCTTATGACATTTGTGAATTTGTAATTTTGGTACTTCTTTCTCTTTTAAAAACACTGATTAGAGAAGGTGAATTTTATTTATTTGTTCAACAAATGTTAATTGAGGACTTATGCTGGGTCAAGCATTATTCTAAATATTGATCAGAACAGATGATGTCTTTGTACTTGTGAAACATAACGGGCCAGATAAAATATAAACATGCTAATAAGCAAATTATAGCCTATATAGGAAGCTGACGGGCATTATAGAAGAGGGGAGGTAGAGGGGGAGAGGGAGAAAGAGAGAAGAAGAGGGAGAGAAACTACAGGGGGAAAGAAACAGAGAGATGGGGGAGGGGAAGAGAATGTATCAGAGCTAGAGTACACCAAGTCCAAGTGAAAGCATGAGGGACTACATCCTACCCTTTGATCAAAAGGCTCTGTAAAGTCTGTGTATAAGTGTTTGTCTGCTTGTATTAGATAATTGGATGGAGCCGGTAGACACGGAAGCTCCTGTAATGTTATTGTAATAGGCTGTAAAAATGTAAAGTCATGCTTAAGAACAGCTGTTAACAAATACCTGTTTTGTGAAGGCAGAGGAAAATTTTTCTCCCAAGTATATTTTCTCATTTTATTTTAAGCAGCAGCTGTTATTTGGGTTATGAAAATTTAGAATCTATAAACATGAGAAAATAGTACAATTAGATTTCTGTATGTACCAGCAGAACTTCTGAACCAAATTGGCCAGTGTTTCATAGATGAGAGAGAAAACAAATTATAGATAGACATAGACAGACAGGGGTGTGTGTGTGTGTGTGTGCGTGTGTGCACTGTGTATGAACAGAGACAGAAAGGCTTCTCACAGCACCAGCAGGTTGTAGAAAACAGGCTATAAAAATAGTCTATGAAATGGGTGATAAAAAGCAGTCACGCAGGCAAGTGGCTCCTTGTCCTTCTGACCAACATGACTCTGACCTAGCCTATCAGTTCCTAGTGCCTTTGCGCCTGCCCTTTGTTGAGTTTTTCTTTCTGCTGACCGGAAGTTCTGTGGGAATCCTACAATTCTTACGGAGGGCTTCATATTCCTCCCCATTTTTCGAGGGCGGTGCTATGGTTCAGGTCTAAAATGTTTCCCAGCAGCCTCAGGTGTCCAAGGGGCTTTCGGAAGGTGGTTGGATCACGAGTGCTCCAGCTTTATTAGTGGATTAATTCACTGGTGAGGTCGCACTTGATGGCGTTACTGGGTGGTATAGACACTTAGGAGGTGAGGCCTCATGGAAGGGAGTGGGTCCTGGACCTCAGTGGCTACACCTAGAATTTGGCCCCTCCTCTGGCTCTTTCCCTTTCACCAAGCTTCCTGGCTGCCATGAGGGGATCAGCTCTCCTCCACCATGCCCTCCCGCCTCCCCACAGGCCCAAAGCAGTGGAGCCAGCAGACCATGGACTGAAACCGGTGAGACCATGAGTCCAAAATAAACCTTTCTTTCTCTAAGTAGTTTTTCTCAGGTATTTCGTCACTGAGATGAAAAGGTCACTAACACAGGCAATGAAATATCTACTTTTTGGAATCAGTCATGATTCTTAAACTAGAAGTAAACTCTGACTGGTTATAATTCCTTAAATCTATGACACCGTGGATTTTTAAGGTACACTTCTTTTAAATATCATTGACTTTAAAAAAATTTCTATTTTACTATTTTGCAGTACTCTCTCCTCATTTAGAGTTTTTCTTCTATGCATATTGAAAGTGTTCCTCAGAATTATTTAGATAATAATCATTGTTTTTATAAGGAAACTATAAATCAAGTATTTTGATTAAGGAATTCTTTTTCGTTATTTGAAGTCTGTTTCATTCACTTGCTTTTCAACCAAAGCTGTTGATAACAATATTTTTCCAAATAATGCCATACTCGGGACTATTGAGAATAATGATACAGCAATTCAAAACAGAAAGGTTCGCTATTGCTTCCAAGAATGTTCCTGGAATCAAGATTAAAGAGATTCTTCCTTCTTTTACATGGATTATTTAATTGTTGCATTTGTCAAAATTATGTCACATTTTATTTTGGTTCATATTTATATCTTGGTTTTCTGTAAAGAGTCCTCCAATTAATTTTACTTTTTCTTATTGGGAAAGAACGTGTGGGCCTCCATCATCTCATCCTGCATCATTTTTCCAGTGTTCGGCTTATTCTTCGTTTTTCAGATTCCCTTTTCAGTCATGTCTGTTTTTCAAAGATCACAATTTCATTCTAATTTGAACCGCTGTCCCTCTTTGCCTTCGCCTCACATTTCCCAGATTTGTCACGTCGCGTTGCCTTTCATCCTGGCGCTACCTTGACTCTTCCTTCTCAGGCTGCCGGCTCTCGGAGGGCCTAGTCCTGAGGTTTTCCTGAGTCACCACAGCTCTCTCTTGCTGCCGGTCCCCACGGTCCCTGCGGTCATGAGTGATGTGTTTTCCTTTACTGTCACCCCAAAGTCGTCTCAGGAGGAAGAGGAGATCTCGTATCATCTGACTCCTCATCTGAGTCATTTTATGTGTAAAAACACCATCTATTTCTAGTAATTTGTGTAATAAGTCATATTCATTAAATTTAGCTAGTATTTAACTGAGTGAGTTTATGTGCAGAATTCTAAGTTTCTGTGTCAGTGAGATGCAACCTACTGACCCAACTTTCTTGACTCGATGACACCGAGACCAAAGAATCATGTTTTATCTTTCTGCATTATTTTAGGAATTAATTTCTAGCAAGATTGCACAAATAGAGTCACATCAGGGTCATAGTATTTCAAATTATATTTTCAAAGTGAGAAATGCTCATGCTAGGATAAAGGAACATTTTAAAATAGATTCTTTTAAGATCATGATACGCAGTGTATTTACCATTTATTCTCTATTTTGTTATGAAATTTTATTTTTTCATAGAAATATTTTCATATTTTTATTAATATCTAATTGTATTACATTAAAATAAAAAATGAAAAAGATATAAAAATTTAAAAAGTAAGTGAAGTTTTTAAGAGTAATTAAATGAGAATCACATGGCCAATTTCTACCCCACTCAAAGAAACAAAAGTAAATGTACTTTATAAGATTACTAAAAATAAGCCCACATTTATTTTGTTAAATTTTTGAATATTTGAAGAAACAGAGTTTTTCATTTATATTTAAATAAAATGCTTGACTGCTGTTATTTAATAAAGGATGGACTCTTCTCTAACAGAAAGAAAATGCCAAAACTTAGGGGCAGATGGGGCTTATTGAGTTCATTCACCAAAGCAGCAGAATTTTCAGAATTGCTGTTCTTACTCATAAAGTTTTCTACAAGCTCAGAGGCTTTTGGAGATCACTGGAGCAAGCTGTAAACCATTTTCTTTCTGTCCAATTACTTGTTCAAACACCGAGACTGTTTTGTACTTGAGGATACTTGAAAGACAAAAATGACACAAATAATGACTCACAATAGACATCAGTCTGATTTCCCTCTGAAAACACATATAGGATCATCCAGTGGGATATAGATTTTTGTTTAAAGTTTATAGTGATCACTGAAGGGTTAGTGATACAATCACTGTGCTATCTTTGATGTGTTTTGCAAGTTGAATCATTGCTTACACATCCAGGAATCACAGATGCATTGTTTACGTCAGAATGTGGAGGAGTCTTTGTACACTTTATAAAGATTTCTTCAAATATTTGTATATCTTAATATAGGTTTCTCTTTTTCTAACTCCCTAAATAACTGATAAAGGCGCTTTAAAATCCACCAGAATGGTTATCATCTACGTAAGTAATTCAACAAATATTTACAAAACCTATGATGTTCCAGTGAATGTATGAAAATATTTGCTTTTTAAAAATCAAACACTGTGTGTTCTTTTCTATGTTCTGGTGAAGTTTTATTGCACATGGCAACACTATGTTCTTAAGTAGGAAGTGAACAGACAAAATGCACAGCACTTTCTCTAATGTATTGTTTGTATACAAACAATTTACCAAATTTAGGAGTTAATTTTGGAATCCACCTAAGACCTTGATGAATGATTTCCCCGAAAAATCCAATTCAGGGGGAAAAGCTCAGGGGTTGTAGTGACTTGAGAGAGCAGTGGTGAATAATTGAAATGCAGGAACTGACGTTATTATTTCTGAAAAGTAGAGCTACAGATCTAATATGATTAGGCGGGTTTAGTAGACGCCACTTCTATCTGCTCTGTAAGGTCAGTCATCAGCATGTGCTTATGAATTAGTGCACTTTGGACGTGGAAACATGAACTGCACTGCTCACATCTACCCCGGCAGTCGTCACAATAATTATTACAGCTATAAGGGCCTTGGTTAGCTTTCTGTGGATGTGACAAATCCCCGAGAGAGTCCTTAACGGAGAAAGGTTTACTTTACCTCATGGTTTCAGTCCATGGTCAGTTGGCTCCAGTGTTCTGGGCGGTGGAGCATCATGGAGAGGCCTCATGACAGAGTGAAGATCAGGTTAATGTCTGGCTGAGTCAGAAGCGCCGCACCATCTCTCCTGAGAAAAATCCGAGGCCTATTAGGACTGGAATAATCCGCCCCCTCGGGTGTGTAGAGATCTGACCTTAGACAGATGAACTGCTCCTCTCAAAAACTTCTAAAGTCCTGACTCCATTGCCTCAGCCCCTAAAGCAGAAATCCAAAAAATAACCCGTGGCCAATAAGATGTGCCAAATATCCTGACTCCACCCTGGCTCCACCCCTGCCTTACCCGATCCAATAGCAATCCAGTAGCGCCACCCTGGCTCCACCCCCGCCTTACCCTATATAAGCTGTGCTTTTCCTGAGTAAAGCGGAAGCGTTCCAGAAACCTCTGCGTGGTGTTTTTGTCCTTGCCCTCTCAGTCCGGGCCCCTGACCCTTGTTCAGCAAGCGGGCTCCCCGACAAAAACAACAACAGAGAGAGCGTGGTGATGGGCAGAGTGAGAAATCGGCGAATCTGGAAATTACAGGAAACTCTGGTACTGTACTTGTTACCTTAGGAAGTTAGCCAGGAAAAATGCCTATGTTTTTTAGTGTTGGGATTATTTGTACTTTTCCCCTAAGCTGTTTTACTTTGAGCATTCTGAATTTATTTGGCCATAAGGAAATTGAAAACAAATTATGTCTCCTTTTGGAGCATATTCAGACGATTGGTATCTAGCATGTTAGAATTATTTTGCTCGCCCTACCTCTAGTTTGCCCTTTGCCTGATTTTTTCCTCAAAGTTTTACATTATGTATCATTTTTCTGCATTATTTTTGATTCTGTAAACCTCTGTGTATTCTTTGGTTACAATTTAGGATACACATAAATATTTCTTGTATTGAATTGATGTGAGATAGGACCTTTCACAGCTCTTGAAGGCTGTATTGAATCCCTGGTTACACTTGTGATTGTTTCTTTGTTATAAAAGAATGAGATCTGATGCAAGAATTCAGACCATCTGAGTAGCTTGTGTTTGCATGGAACAGTAAATAAATAATGGTTGTCTTATGTAAGAACCAGGGATCTTTTTGATCACTTAGGTTAGTTAAATGTGAGTTAAGTTTTGGGCTGAATTATTAATCATTAGTTGCATCAAAGTAGTCCAGTGGTGTGTTGTATCCGTGACACATCCTGATTATGAAACTAGCTCTCAAGTTTATTTTATAAGAACATTTTATATCAGAAATAGGTCATATTAAAAGCAGGGAGGGACTTGGATCTGTTAACATGACTAGATCATAATGATTCCAAACACCAAACTAATTTCTGGAGATCCTAAAGAAACATTGCAAATCGGTGTGCAAATGCGATGGGTGTAATTGGATCTCGGATTGGCAGGGGCCAAGTGGCAGCACTCAGCCGCCAGAGACAAGGTGGGCATAGTTACTGTAACGGACAGCAGGGGCAGAGCACTGAGGGGAATGGTCTGACTCAAGTGGACCTGTGGTGCTGGCTAATTAATCACTGTGTTCCCAGAAGTGAGATAAGCCTACTAATTTTTTACTGGATTTTTATAAGTAGAAAAATTTCAAGGCAAGTAAACAAAAATCTACCTCAAATTATAACAACAGAAAATCACAGCACTCCAGCCAGTTCCTAGGTTTGAGCCAGTGGACAGACCCAGAGTCCCTGGAATGGAGGGTAGGACAGGCCTCTTTGGGAATAACTTTGATGCACTACCAATGTTTTCTCCCTTCTTTCCTTAAAGGGGACTTAAGGACTTTTACCAGGATTATTGTACATTGAGCAAAACAAAATGATCAGACATTTTGGGGACTGCTAGACGCTGGTTCTGCACTAACACTGCTTCCAAGAGACACAAAACATCTCCATGGCTTTCCAGAGGGGGCTGTGGAGGTCAGATGATCTGACCCATAGTGGGTCCAGCAGGTCCCTGAATCCACCCAGTGGTCATCTCTCTAGCTTCAGAACAGATAATTGAGATAGATAAACTTGTACCTAGTAGAATCCCCGTATTGGTTCCCTAGCCTGTCGTGTGAGCACTACTCTGGTGGTAAAAGCCAAGTGGAAGCCAGTAGAGTTTCCTCTACCTGAAAAAAATAGTAAATCGAAACCAATATTGCATCCGTGTAGGGATTGCAGAGATGAGTGCCACCACCCGAGGACTTGAAAGACGCAGGGGTGGTGGTTCCCACCACATTACCATTTAACTTTCCTAGCATTTGGCCTGTGTGGAAGACAGGTGGATCAGATAATGAGACTGGGCTACTGAAGCTTAATCAAGTGGCGACTCCATTTGCAGCTGCCATACCAGCTGTGGTTTCCTTGCTTGATCAGAACATGTCTCCTGGTATCTGGTATGCAGCTACTGATTTGGTAAATGTCTTTTTCTTCATACCTATCCATAAGCCCACCAGAAAGAATTTACTTTTGGGATGGTGAGGCCTGCGGTACACTTTCAGTGTCCCACTTGAGGCATATGAACTCTCCAGCCCTGCGTTACAGCTTAGTTCACAGGGACCTTGCTTGTCTTTCTTTTCTACAAGACATTGCATGATCATTACATTGATGACATTATGTTGATTGGACCAAGTGACCAAGAAGTAGCAACTACTCTGTACTTGTTGGTAAAGCATTTGCATGTCAGAGGATGGGAAAAGACACAACTACAATTCAGGGTCTTTTTACCTCAGTGAGCCCAGCAGTATAGGGTATACGGAGATGTCCTTTCTAAATTGAAGGCTAAGTTGTTGCATCTGGCCTCTCACAACTAATAAAGAGGCACACTGCCTTGTTGGGTCTAGTTGGATTTCAGTGGTAACACGCTCCTCACTTGGGTGTTCTACTTTGGTCCGTTTGCCAAGTAACTTGGAAACCTAGTTTTGAGAAGTGCTCAGAACCAGCGAAGCTGTGCAGCAGGTCCAGGCTGCTCGGCCCCTGGGCCATGTGATCCAGCAGATCCGATGGTTCTTGAGGTGGCACTGGCGGGTAGGGATGCCGCTTGGAGTCTCTGGCAGCTCCCATTGGTGAACTGCAGTGGAGGCTAACGAGCCACCTGCATTATCTTAGCTAGCGTTTGACCTTGGAGAATGGCTGCACAGTCCTAGTTCCTCAGCTTCAGGCTTTCCTTGCTATTAGAGACGTCACAGCCTCATCGATCATTGAGATCTCAGTTGTGGCTGTTGGCAAAGTGAAGTCTGACTCCAAACACCAGCCGAAGGGTCAATTAGCAATTCACACTTAGGCCTTGGAATGACTCGTAATTTTAATCAGTAGTCGAATTCATAAGCCAAATCAATATCTAAAGCCTGCTCAGCTCAGTTTCGAGCTGGTCTCCTGCACAGCTCTTCAGCCAGTGCACCTGGTCGTGTATTTTGCTTGGAAGGAAAACTGTCCAGATGTGCTACGCTGTACGAGTCACGGGCTGTTGCCAGTGGTCTGGCCACATGGTCAAGGACTTGGAAGAAGCATGACTGGAAAATTATTGACAGTCATTTGAGGGCGAGGTGTGTGGATAAACCTCTCCTCCTTTAAATGTTAGGTGCGAGTGCTATTTTGTCCCAGTGATGAAAAAGTACCTAACAGAGGTAACATAAAAAATGGGACTTTGCTCTTGTTGGTGTGATGAGTGCATGGGGTTCCTACAGAAGTTGTGATGAGAGTTATAAAGGACGAAAATCCCATGAAAAACTGATAGTGCGAAAAACAAATATACCAGAGTGCAGAGTATTTATTTTCATCTCTTTTCCCCCTAAGAGTATGTAAGTTGTGAAACAAGGAAACCTGACCCTCTTTCTGTGTACATACTTGTCACTGGTGCTGTTTCTCAGGTATGAGTTACGAGACATGTCTGTCACTTAATTTTGTATTCTTTGCAGGAAAACTGTGATTTCTGTTTTAAAATACAACATCTCAGGCTCGTAGACAGCTCTGCAGGGGCTGTAGGAACCTCCTGCAGTCTGGTTCGTAGGCAGGAACCCTGAGAGCAGCCTGGACTGACGCCCCAGACTCTCGATGCAGTGTTTCTGCAGACTACGCCTGTGTGGAGGGCCGAGTCCCCAGTCTGAGATCATAAAAAAGAGTGAGACATCAAAACCACATGAGTCCAAGCCCAGTACGTTAAAGATTGACTGCTGTTCCAATTCAGGATGTAGCAGTACAAATAATCTCTTGTGATGTATTTGCAATGGAGTAGAATTCATGGGAAGGCCTGTCTCTGTCATGGGGACATATCATCGTGAGACTTCTCGGGAATTACTCTACTGAGTCTTCAACGTGAATATCACCTTAACCGCCAACGAATAATAGGTTTCAAAAAACATTTTGGACAATTTTCTATTCTTTATGCCATTATGTGTATAATCGCTTGTCTTTGTAGTACGCTATTAAAGAGAAAGGTTTTAGAAAATACAGGGGATTTAAGCATGAAGTTTGAGCATGAAAAGAATGTAAAGACAGTGATATTAATGGTGTTAGATTAGCAGTCACATATTTAGTCAGCACTGTGAAAACTTTAGTTGAAAGTTCAGTTGTATGCTGTGATACTTGTCTTGGAACGTATGGAGACTGAATGCTTTTTTATGGCTTATATTTTAACTATGTAAGTTGGCAAGAGCATAGCAATAAGTCTAACATGATTGAACAAGGAATACTTGTTTTGCAGGGGATTACAATTTAAGGACGTATTTATATCTGCTGTATATTTCTTACAGACAACTTGTATACATGTGTTTTCCTATGTGTATATTTTTGTTTTAGATTTACTAAAATCCGGTGCACGTCTCTGAAGAAAAATGATTTGTCAAACATTCTGTGTGGCTTTGTTACACTGTGGTAAGTTATTTGCTGTTTTTATATGAAGCAGAGATTTTGCTGTCAGAGATGCTATTTCCTTATTGATAAACAGAATGTTCTTTTTCCAGCTTTGAATTTTCATACATGCTCATGATGAAAAATGCAACCAACAAAATTGTAAATGTGAAAATGAAAACCTTCTCCAATCCCTAAAAATGACTCAATAGTAATATTTTGCCAGAATTTTAACACACACACCCACACACACCCATATCTACAGTTGCAAACATTTTGTTTTCCATGCTGCTTTTTCCACTTTGGTTATCAATTTGTCATGACAGTTTTCCTTATCAATATCCATCGATGCACTTAATTATGTAGTAGTGAGAGGACAGTGTGTCACATAAATGTACCTCACCCATTCTTGATCAATAGGCATTCCTTTTCTTTAACAGATAATGCTGCATTGAACTCCATGTATGTTATCTTTGTATACTTGGAAGATAGTTTAACTCCTACAGAGGGATTTCTGTCTTAAATAGCATGCACATTTTATAATTTGATATGGGAAGTCTCTTTACAAGGGTTTGCGACCTTTGCTGTTATAGACATAGCCAAGAGAGCTCTTGCATTTCTGCCAAAGACGCAGGTTACCATTCTTTTACTTACCATCCTCTTACCACTCTTTACTTTTTGGCATTTCATTTCAATTTTGTTTGATATCTGTGAGATTGAACAGTTTATTAACTAGTTAGATTTTTGATTTTCTAGTTCATATACTTTTACCTGTTGTTGGATCTTACTGGTCTCAGTTAAATGTTAGAAATTTCTAAAATGTAGTAGATATTTAGTGCTGTGTTAAGACTCTCCAGAGAAGCAGAAATGAGTGTGGGAGTTTGTGTGTGTGTGTGTGTGTGTGTGTGTGTGTATGCAGAGAGAGAGAGAGAGAGAGAGAGAGAAACAGAGAGAAACAGAGAGAGAGAGAGGGAGAAACAGAGAGAGAGAGAGAGAGAGAGAGAGAGAAAGAGAGAAACAGAGAGAGAGAGAGGGAGAAACAGAGAGAGAGAGAGAGAGAGAGAGAGAGTGTGTGTGTTACTCTAAGGAATTGGGGCGGGTAATTATGAAGGCTGAGATCTACAGTCAGCAGGCTGGAGCCCAGAATGCCAAGGGAGTGGTTCCAGTCAGAGTCCAGAGGGCTGAGAACCAGGGTGGTTGGAGTGCAGGTTCCTTCTGCACACCCAAGAAAAACTGATGTTTCACGTGTGGTCTGAGGGCAGGAGAGGTCACTGGCTCAGCTCCCAGCAGTCAGGCCCAGGAGTCCCCTGGTGTCGGGGTGAGGTGGTCCACAGATGCTGTCCGCAGATGAGCTTCTCGCCCAGCGGTGTCCACAGACACAGCCAGAGGGAAGCTTGACCAACGGTACCCTGCAGGCCCCGCCAAAATGACGCAGACACACATCCTCACGAGCCTTAAAAACTTGCTATGTTTACTAATACTTTCTCACTGCCCATTATTTGCTTTTGAACTTTTACAGTACAGAAAATTTATGTGTGCACACTAATACCTGTGTATGAACAATTAGAAATAAGACAGAATGGCACTTAAATAATTTAATTTTATTTGGCAAATTTGACATTATTAAATTATAAATATGTATATATCAGATAGACATCTGCTTTATATCAGGAAGCAGTTTATTTGGTGATAATATTGAAGATAAACGACTGTGATACAGAGCGATGGATGGGTTTGTTCTCAAACAGGACAGTGATGGTGTTTTCAGAGCGATTTACCATTGTGACTCTGGAAAGCGATGGCCAGTATTGTTATCAGGGGACGTCATCAAGGCATAGTGTTAGCCCTGGAAACGGCCATCTTGAATATCATCAGGATGCTTTAAGAAATTAAATGGCATCGTGGTGTATGCCCATAGTACCAGTGCTCTGGGAGGCTGAGGCAGGAGAATTGCAAATTATAGCTCAGCCTGGGCAACTCAGTCTGTATCAACAATAAATAAAATTTTACAGAGATGTGATGATGTAGGTTAGTACTGAAACCAACCAACCAACGAACCAAACCAGAACAAAAACAAAAGATAGAGCAAGAAATTAAATGCACTCCTATCCCTCCTCCCACTCACCGTAGGGTTGCCTTCTACAGGAAGCCTCATGTGATCTTTGAATGTCTTGTTTTTTTAAGTGCTGTAATCCATTGCAATCTCATGTTTGAAGTGAGTTACACATTGTTGATGACCTTTTCTTAAAAATAGGGAAACCTATTTTTCTTTTTTTTCCTGTTTTTTTTCTAGTTCTTTTTAAAAAAAATCTGTTTTCATTTAAAATACTGAAATTGTATGTATTTATCTTGTATAACGTGATGTTTTGAGGTCAGCGCACTTGCGCAGTGGTTCAGTCTAGCTAATTACCAAGAGCACTGCCCCACATAGTTAGCATTTTTGTGGTGGGAACCTTTAACATCTGTCAGCGCTTTCACTGACACAGCAAATCATCATTAACTAGGTCTCCACGCTGGAATTAGATCGTGGAACCTCCTCTTCCTCCTCTCTAGTGTCAGCCGGCAGCTCCCAGCTTCCTGACCTGGGAACCTCCCCAGCCTCTCGCAACCTGCATCTCCTCCTGACTCCTGTGAGATCCGCTTTTCGGCCTGCACCCGTGCGCGAGGCCACGGGCGCCTGTCTTTCTGTGTCCAGCTTATTTCCCTTAGCTTCGTGTCCTCCAGGTTCCTGCACTCGGTTGCAAATGTCAGATTTCCCTTCCTTTTAGGGTTGCGTGATGTCCCGTGAAATTTCTTCCTGGACCCCTTGGCTGCTCAGCACCATGTTGTTTAGTCTCCACATGTTTGCGAATTTTCTAGTTTCTCCTGTTGTTCATTTCCAGTTTCATATCATTGTAGTCAGAAAAGACACTTGATGGGATTTCAGCCTTCAATTTGTTAAACTTGTTTTGCAGCTCAACATCCACTCCAGCCTAGACAATGTTCCCTGTGCAGTGGAGAGGACTTTGTATTCTGCAGCTGTGGGATGAGATGTTCTGTGTGTATCTGTACAGTTTGTTTGGCCTGGAGTGTGGTTTAAGTCTGTTATTTCCTTGTTGGTTTTTCTATCTGGATGAGCTGTCTATGTAAAAGCCAGGTGTTGAAATCTCCTACTATCATTTATTATAGTCTCCCCCCGCCCCATACACTGATAATTTGCTTTGTATATTTAGGTTTTCTGATGTTGGTTACAGATATATTTGGAACTACTATATCTTCCTGCTGTATATTACCTTCTTCTCTCTGAACAGTTTTGACTTAGAGTCTATTTTATCTGATATAAGTATAGTTGTCCCTTGTCTGTCTTGGTTTCCATTTGCATGGAATATCTTTTTCCATTCTTTCATAGTCTGTGTTATAGGAAAAGTCAGTCTCTCTCTCTCTGTGCCCCCCCACCCTCCCACTGGTGATTGAACGTAGGGCCTCACACATGCTAGGCAGACACTCTAGTGCTGAACTATATGACCAGCCCTTTTTGTATTATTTTGAGACAGTCTCACCAAGTTGCCTAGGCTGGCCTCAAAGTCACAATCCTCCTGCCTCAGCCTCCTGAGCATAACTGGGATTACAGGTGTGTACCACCACACCTGGCAAAATGAATCTCTTATAGGAAGTATTAATCCATCGAACAACTATTGGCAAACTCAACTATTTGCATTCAAAGTTATTGATCTGTATCATCTTTTGTTTGCTTCCTCTCTTACTGTCTTTGTGGTCAGATGATTTTTCTTTAGTGGCATATTTTGATTCCTTGATTTTTATTTTCAGTATATCTGTTATAGGTTTTTTTTCCTTGAGGATCACAAAAAGTATCTTAGATTTATAATACATTCTGTCAAGTCAAAACATCTGTATTTTGAGTGTAAAAAACTGCACTTTCATTTCGCTTCTGTCTCCACATTTTGAATTTTATAATTTACACCTTTCTTGTTACTTATCTTTTAAGTTATTGTAGTTATTACTTTTGTTTTATCTTTTAATCTTCTTATTAAAGATGTAAGTGATTTATACCCCGCTGTTCTAGTTTCACAGCATTTTGAGGCTGATGAGTCAGGCTTATACTTTCATGTTACTTGTTAGCATAGCATTATTATTATTTTTTCAGTTGGAGAACTCACTTTAGCATTTCCTGTAAGACAGATCTGGTGGTGATGAACTCTCCCAGATTTTGTTTGTGTGGGGAAAATCTTTACCTCTCGTTTCTGAGGAACAGCTTTGCTAAGAGCAGTGTTCTTGGTTGGCAGGGGTTTGTTTTGTTTTTCTTTAGCACATTGGAAGTACCATTACAGTGCTTCTTGGCCTGTAGGGATTTCTCCTGAGAAGTCATCAGCAGGGCATGTCGGAACTCCTTTGTATGTTGTTTGTTTCTTTTTTCTGGGTGTTTTCAGGGTCTTATTTGACAGTTGAATTATATAGTATCTTGAGTTGTTTTATTTGGATTGAATCTGATTTGTGACCTTTGATCTCTGTACCTGGAAAGACACAAATGTGTGTCTTTCTCCAAGATTGGAAATTTTTCTTCTCTTACTTCTTTAAACTTTTACCCCTTTATCTTTTTCTACTCCCTCTCTGAGACCCAATAACTCAAAATTCTGCTCTTTTGATGCTGTTGCATGAATCTCATAAGTTTTCTTCAGTTTTTCATTCCTTTTTTTTTCTTTGGCCTCTGACTTTACATTTTCTTTTTTGTTTGTTTGTTTTTGTTTTTTGGGACAGGGTCTCACTATGTAGTTGAGTCTGACGTGGAACTCACCATGTAGCCCAGGCTGGTCTCAAACTCACAGTGATCCTCCTGCCTCATCTTCCCGAGAGCTGGGATTACAGGTGTGCACCATCAGGCCGAGCTTGGCTTTACATTTTCAATGGACTGTCATTTGAGTTTATTCATTCTGCTCTTAATGTTCTGTGTTCCTTTTTTTCATTTTATTTGTTGTATTTTTCAGCCACCGCATTTGATTGACTTTTATTATTATTATTATTTCAATCTCCATTAATTTTTCTTATTCTGGTTGCTTTGTTTCCTTATTTCTTTGAGTTCTCTGTGGCTTTTGAAATTTGCCAACCTATTTTGCCATTCTCTGGCAAGGAGTTCATACAGCTGCATTGCTTTAGTATCAGTCCTGGTGGCTGATTTTGTTCATTTATTGATGCCCCGTGTCTCTACTTGTTTTTGATTCAGGTGGTCAGCCATGTGTTGATATTTGTGCCCTGGAGAAGTGTGTACCTACTCTGGACTTTGCACCTGGCCTTGGCTGGGAACCTGTGCACCAAGTCCGTGCAGAGCTGCTGGGCAGGTCATCCACGTGGTCCCTGCATGTGTGACCCCAGCAGCAGGTGCTGTGGCCTAGCACTCTTGGGGTGCCCCGTGCCGAGCAGGTGTCTCCTGGCCACCAGAGCTGGCATCTCATCGGATGTCCCTGCGGCCCATGGCTGCTGAGGCTTTCTGGCCTCTGAGCTTTGTCTGAAGCCTGTGGTTGGTCAGCAGACACCAGACCCATTGTGCCAGGGCATGTCGGGAGGCTCAGGCCGCGGGTTTCAGCCGGGTGTCTGCCTGGTGCTGGAGTTACTGTGGTGGAACTGGTGTTGGGGACCAAGGTGATGCTTTGGCTTGTTTCCCATCTTTATCCCAAGAGACAGCGTCTGTGTCCATGCCATGCTCCAGGGGTGTGTGTGCTGCAGACGGCATGAAACTGTCCCTCCTTCCGCCCTCCGTGTGTCTGCACCTGGTTTCCTTAGTACTTGGGAAGATTTTTAATGTGTGGTGATTTGTCCCAACTGATGCTTCTGCAGGGTGATCATTGCTGGAGAATCCTTTTCTGCCATCTGGCTCCACTCTCTCTCAGTGTGGATAACTTTTGGGCATGTGGTTCTCACGCGTTTCTCACCATAGTCTGGTGATATTCTGATTTTCTTAAATTCAAATCATCTAATTTTAGTTGTGTTTCAAAGTTTTGGAATTCAGGTCAGGCTATCTTTAACAAAACCTGTTTTATCTGGCGACTCTCCTCCTGGGGTCAGCTAACTCTGGGCATCTCTCTTGTCACTTCAGGGGACAGGAGCCCTTCAAGCATCTCTGCATTTCTCCCTTGCTGTAAAGCTGTCCTTTCTCATTGTGGCCATCTGGGTTCTCACTGGAAATACCCAGGACAGCTCCACTCACAGAGATGTCAAAAAAACCATGCTTCTGGGGGCATCAAAGAGAAATAATTCTTTTATATTCTCCACCTAATTTTATCATATATATATATTAAAT